TAAATATAATTAATAATTTAATTAGTTATTAATTATTAAATATTTGTTATTAATTAATATATTTGTTTTTTGATAAATATATTTAATAATTTAATTAATTATAAATTATTAATTAACTAATACTGAAATCAAATTACCTACGGTTGTCCCTTCTTACCTTTCTAGCTTCCATTCTCATTGGAACCCAACTCTCTCTCTCTAATTAAGTTTCTTGTAAAACAACGTCGATTGCTACGACACTCAAATAAACAAAACAAGTTCAATATGTTATATGCAAATGTAGAATCTCATGGGTACGATGTATGCAAACATCCTTTACCTTTAAAGCGTTGTTTTTAGGTCAATCAAACATGTTCTACAGAGTTGCTCATTCCATCAATTAGAGAAATCTAACCGAAAATTATGCATCCATACGACAAAAATAATACAATTCACGGGTTTATTAAATACAAAGATGTAACCTTGAGATAGCATTTGGTACGCAGACCGGACTGGACAGTACTAAATTGCCTGTTCTACGTTTGGTACGACAACAACATGGCTGAACAAAACTGTTAAAATGACTAGATTGCCTTAAATCTAAAACTTTTATGGCAGATAGCCGAAACTTTTAGAATGAGATATCCAAACCTTGGAATTTTTCTTTCACAATTTGATCCAAGATATTACTCATTTCAGTTGTGAGATGGTTGCTCCAGTCTCCAACTTTCCCTTCCCTAAAGAACGTATGATTAGGCACACCCTCACGCAAATCTCCGTGCTTATTAACTTCCCGTAAATTTTCGAAGCCGCACATCTTCACGATTTCTTCCACCGCACCTTCGGCCTCTTCCTTCTCCGTGAAACCGCAGCCTAAGAACTCCGCCAAGCGCTTCACGTTATTCACAGAATCCTTTTCCATGTTCTCGTACGTTAAAAATAGAATCCTTGTCGGGTGTTCTAAACCCGCGTTGTAATACCCCTTCACGTGATCCCAGTGAGGTCCGTATGGCATGACACCGTTACTAAACATTTGAAACGCTTCCTCAAACGTCATTACACCACGAGATTCGTCTCTCAACTTGTTCGTAAAGTGAAACAGCGAGACCAAAACATCTTTAGGGTTTCTACACATATAAACTAGGCGACAACCGGAATCAATAATGGATCGAGGCAACAGAGTGTAGGGTATATGAGTAGCAAAAAGACGTGGCCGATGTGCATCGACATACGTAGGTGTTTTTCTATAGATTTCGGGCTCGACGAAAGGCAAACATTTATGGGGGTTGAAGATGAGTAAAGGATGAGTTGATGGACGATGGTTTTCGTGCCTGGTTCGATTCACCAAAGCGAACATGAGTGCCTTCATCCATGTCGTGCCGGATTTCGGAAGTGTGGCTAAGTAGATATCGGTTGGATGAGCTTCAAAAGCTTCTTGCAAAGCCATCATCGTTTCAAATGAGAATACTCCCTTGGAAAGGTGCCAAAAGCCTTGATACATGTATAGGTGTTCACTCACCCAACCTTTCTCTTTTGGAAACGTCGTTAACCGATCCTTGTATCTATCAAGAATGGTGGCAAGATGGGCCTTTTCATATTCATGATCTTCCTCACTAGGCTGTGTTTCAAATGAAAGACGAAGAGTATTAGGATTTGACATTTGCAGGATTGTATCTGTGAAACGACAGGAATCAATTTACATTCATCCATATCAATATATATATATATATATATATATATATACACTATATTATATTATATTATAAAAAATTTGACAAAAACTCTTAAAAACTGTTTTTTATACATGAAGTATTGTTTATTGATACATATTACTTAAAATTCAAGATTACAAGTAAATTGTGCATAAGTACAACTTATTAAAGCTCTATGTTTGAATTCGTGTAACTAACTGATAATCAAATAAAAAATAAATATCTAATTTTAAAATATAAAAAATCTAAAATATAATTAGGATAATTATTGTGTTCTAACAAA